ATGGGGATTCGGTCTCAAAACTTCCAAAATCCGCCACCAGAGGCGCTGGCGTCGCGCGCCATTGACAGGTTGTTGGACGGAATCTGTATTCATGAGTTGGGGATTCCGCCGCTAGATGGCGCTGTCAAACCAAACGGAATCTGTGTGTCATTGGACACCTGTCATGCGTCATTGGGCATCTCACGCATAGATGGCGTTACACGTCATCTGTCATACGTCATGGACACCTGTCATTGATGGGTTGAGCATCTCGCGCATAAATGGCGTAGATTTGTTTGGCGGTGTACAAACCTAACGGAATCTATGCGTCATTGGACAGCTGCCATTGATGGGTTGGGCATCTCGCGCATAGATGGCGCCGATGTCGCACCTGTCTGGTGTTGGCGTGGATTACGGGGGGCAACGTGTATACAGGGGTGCATCGAAAAATAGCGGATCGATGGACCGACGGTATATCGTAAATCGTATATAGCAGGCGTGACCTAAATAGCGTGGTGGGCTCCTCTGGTCGGTCGGTCGGTCGGTCAGAATGTCTCATAACCTGTATACGATGTACTGTTATTATTATACAGGATGATACCGTTCAAAATGAAAATAGTATAATGGATATTTTATTGAAACATATAGTATATATAACAATAAGGTTGATTGGTGTGTGTGTGTGTGCCATGTTTTGAATACCCGCGCTTGAACAACTTGCAACAAGAAATTCCGACAATATTATTTCGCAAACCAGAGGTATTTTCAATAAAACTACATATCAGGGAGTACTTTAGATGTTGATACTAATCGACTCAAATCATTGTTCGACAACTGATTTGGTTCATGACAGACAAGAATCAAATTATGTATTTCACGGTTCAGTTCTGGTTGTTTTTTAATTTTTTCCCTAAACTTCAGGTAACCCAGGAATATGTCTCTTATCCGTCCTCTGTTCAACACATCAGTAAAATCGTTAGAAAATTCTATATATGACATATTATTATAAAAGGTATAGGACCGTCCTGCGTTTGATTGAAAAATAGCATTGATTCGAGCCCTATCGGGTATATCAATTGAAAAATTATCAAGAAATTTAATGGTAGGGAATGATGCTGAGAAATAGTTGTTTGGAGACACAATGGTAATCAAGTCACCGTTTGTTGATTGGAAAATATGTTGTAAAGTGTATTGACGTAATTCTGTAGGAACATAATCGACAAGAAGTTCAGGCTGAGATGGGATAATCATTTCGTTTAAGTCTAGTTTCCATATAAACATATCATGTGCAATATATAATCGGTAATTTGAAAACTCTGGAGCAATAGCTAAAAACATAAAATCTGGAATAATATCACACAAATTTTTGAGGATCGGCTGCTTACGAGTTGTAGATCTTATAGTTGTTGTTGTTTTTGGTATTGCTGATGCGGTGGTAGACGTTGGGATTGAATCATATTTGTTTTTTCTTCCATATAGATATTGTACTGCATTTATATCATCAACATCTAGACCACGAATCTCATGCTGATAGAAGGCAAACATAATAGCATTCGGAGAAGCACTATGTGCTATGCCGAGAGCATGTCCAATTTCATGAACCAACACCTGATAGAGAATGATGTCAAAAATCTCAGATAGCAAATATAAATTCGTTTACCCCCCAATCAAAATCTTGACTGAAAAAAAATTAGGCAGCAAATATACAATAATCATACACGAATTTACTATATTTCTAAATTTCTACTCTCATGTGCAACTTGTAATTGGAATTTCCGCCGGACAAACGATACATTCATGTATTACTAAGAAATTATATAAAAAATACTGCAACCGCAATGAATGTTGTTTTCTCGATAAAAATGGTACTGAGAATATGATGCATATAATATGCATATTTACGATACAATTATCTCATGCACGCGTGTGTTATCTCAACCACGTATTTATATTTAGCGAGCGCATGCAATAGTCATCATTGTTTCACACTTAACGCACAACGCTGCAAGCTGGAACAACGGCCGCAGTACAATAGTGCTTCGAGAGAGACGAGATAGCGAAAATTTTAAAAAAAGTAAGTGCTATTTTATTTAATATTTTTCTTTTTTATGTCTCTAAGTGCAACTGTTTTTTCGTGTTATGCTTCAAAATAGTTAGACGACTCAATTTTTTTTATAGATGGATTTATCAAAAATTAATGCTGCGTCTTCGATTGTAGACCGCAAACCTATCAGAAAATTAAAGGACCTACCAGTCGGGACACCATTTGCAATCCAAGCAGCTAAAGTGGTCAAGTCGAAATTTGGGGAAGCCGTGCTACTAGATTTAGGACCGGAAGTGCTATTTCTACCACAGCGGGTGACGGAAACGTACCAGCCGGTCATCGACGAACTTTTTCACGGAAAATACTCGATCATCTTCCAAGGGGAAGTGGACGTAGGGAAAAGCCGACCGCTAGCATCATTCAAAATAGTGGAAAATTAACAAAGCAGAGAACAGGAGGAGGAGGACAGGGTGAGCATTTTTATATATTTTTGAGTAATGTGTTTGCTTGAAAAAAAAAATGTCGTCTTTTCAAATGTCTTCAAATAAGGTTAAAAAGATCATCAAACAAACAGACGGTGTTCTACTATCAATTGTTAGTCTACGGAAAATTTTATTTGATAATTTTACAATCAGAGACGCGGAAGTGTGGCTGAAACGAATAGAAAAACAAATTAGATTATGTAAACGGGTAATTCGTAGTAGAAGGCAAAATAAATTATCTGTAGGGACCTGTAGAAAAGTAGAAACAAATTTGGGGCATTTTAAACATTTTAGAAAGTTGATTTTAACTAGACATATTGGGGCAGGACTTCACTTAACATTGGGTCAGAGGGTTAGATGGGAAAATGTAGAATCGAGCTTTCAAAGTAGAATA